CTATATCTTGTGTGTATGATTCAGCTAGAGTTGGCAGTGAGTGATACAGTTAGCAAGCTGCATATAATGTTGAACACATTGCTGTTGACGATGACTTTTATTGACCTAAACGACCCAAAACAAGGCTCTCAGCAGCCAAGGAAATTTCTGCCATCTCTCTGATCCAAAAGACACAATATTTTTAGATAACTGACCTTTCTGTCTAGCAGTTTAAAAGAAATTCTCAAGTAAGGCCTGTCAAGACTAAATGTAGAAATTTCACTCATCCACTTTGGAAGACAGTTCATTTGTCAGCTCTTTCAACCACAGGTTCCATTGGCTAAATCACTCTTTACCTGGGAGGATGGAAATTATATTTTTAAGTATTCCAGATGATTTGTAAATCACTGGAGTACATGTACATAGTTATAATCTGAGTTGCCACCCTTGATCACCAGGTTCAGCTAAATTACAACCATTAGGCCACCATGTTGGCAATGCATGCTTTTTTCTGGAAACTGAATCTGGTTGTCAAAACCCTGAGTTAATCTTTTTTGGTCATATCTACACGAGACACTTACTGCACAGTAGCTTAATAACACTGCGCAGTAGTGTGCCGGTCAAAAAACATGCTAATATGCTACAGTGCAGTGCTATTAGGCTATTATGCAGTAAATGTCACTAAAAAACTGTGCTCCAGAGCTACTGAGCATTGAATTAGTACTTGGTTAACTAAGTAATAAATTTAACTCACAGTAACTAGAGCACATTAATGAACGTGTAGACACACCCTGTATTAATGGAACCCCTAGAATTCTCTTCTACAAGGTCATCTTTCAGCTCCTTTATTGTAGTTTTTCTTCAACCTAAAACATGATATAACCAAGTTTTCCTTAGAAGTGTTCTCTGCACTCTAAAGCAGCATGTGATTTCTAACAAAATTTTATTTGCTGGATTCTTAAATTCTTTTTCCACCAACTTTTTATTTTAAGAGCTATAGTTCCCATTTCATGAGCTAGAGAAGTAAGACCACTTTTCCTATATAAGGTATTAAATATATTTCACTATCCTAACAATCGGAAATTAAATTCTATACAAAGAAGCTTAATTTCCTCTCTACCAGGGTTCTGCAGACCAAATATCTCTGTATTGAATATCTTCATTGCAGCTACTTGGAGATGTCTGGAAAACTCCAAACAGGACAGACTAAACCTAGCATCGTCAATGACTTTTTCAGAGTCTTATTGCAACAGCTCTATGAACGGTATCCTTTCCCCCTCGCTTACGTCTGGAAATATACATGATAGCAATGGACTTGAAACTCTTTTGTCTGAACTTGAGTTCCATTGAATAGAAAGGGAATTTATTTTATCTGTTCATTAGAGATAGCAATTTGGAATTCTCCTGGAACCAGTTAACTCAGCTGGTAGTTTTACCACATTTCTTTCCAATTGTCTCTCATTATAAATAGTTTAAAACAGTACATTTGTGTCTTGTTTGACAGAGAGTGCTTTATAAGTGCACAACCTCGCAACCTTCCTTTTTGCCAATTGATTATATGCAGCATACCAACTGTGCTTGCTAAAATAAATAGTGGGTGTGTTTACACAAGACACTTACTGTGCAGTAGCCTAATAATGCTATACAGTAGCATGCTAGTCAAAAACTGTGCTAATATGCTGCTTTGCAGTGTTATTAGGCTACTGCACAGTAAGTATTAAAAAAACTACTGCGCACTAGCATGAGTTACTGTGCATTGAATTAATACTTGGTTAACCAAGTACTAAACTTAATGCATAGTAACTAGAGCACATAAGTGAAAGTATAAATGCACCCAATATGTGTGGAACCAGCTGAATTGAAATCTTCTGATGCATAAAAGGAAGAAAAAATCCTTAATTTTGTGATTGTCTTTCTGGCATCCGTGACTACCACTATTAACCTCAAGAACGTTCCATGTGTCTGGACTGGTACCTGACAAGTAAGGTGGCCCTTTCATCAGACAAAGATCTGGAAAAAGGCCAACCCATAGTTAATGGTGTGAGCACTTCACCTCTGAGCAAAAGTTATATTTCCCATTTACTTAGGGTCACAAAGGATATGTTTTCCTACTCTATTTAATGTGCATATTTTGCTGAGTGCTGAACTCAGTCGTGTCCTGACGTATGAGTGAAAGTGATTTGATTTGGTGACCCACATACTAATGGAGGCGAAGGCCTAATAACTATTTGGAGTTTCTCTCTGGTGTTGGAAAGAGCTAGTCATTAGCTAAAATAAACAGGGAAGATTATTGTGTTATAAAACACAGGTCATGAGATCTGCCAAATCTTACTTTGAGACTTATGTAAGTCTCAAGTCAAGTAAGTAAGTAAACTTACGTAATAAGTAAACTTACCATGTAAGGCAACTGCAACCTGCACTGCTCTAGGCAGGCTGCCTTCTAAACCAAGAGCAGTGAGGCCAGGTCTGGGTGGCTGGCTGAGCAGCAGTGGCAGCAGAGCCACTTAGACTGACCTATGCTAATTAACCTGCTTGCAGTGCTCCATAGACACAGGCATACTGCTTCTAGTGCAGTAAGCTTAAGGGTAACACCATGTAGCATAGTAAATTTATTGTGTAGGCATGGCCTGTATTACTTTGACTCTGGTTTAATATTTTCATGCTGAGCAGCTACCAAATCTACTGAGATGAATGAGAGGCACAGGTGCTCATCACGTTTTTAAAACTTGTCCATTCATCTCTCATTTTCTTTTCTCATATTTCTGCATCTCTAAAATAGAGATAAAAAGTGCCTCAGGTAGAGTTCAATAAAGGGTTCTGAATGCCTCAGATCCTTTTGTGATAGGGCCTGCAAAAATGTGATGTCAAAATACTGAATCACAAATGGAAGCATTAATAGTACCTCTGCAATGCATATGTTCTGACTCCGAATAATGGTAATAAGTTTTTGATCAGCCCTGTGGTCTTTGAGTTGTGGAAGCTAAATTGGAAAGGTAATTCAGGCCCATGTTTTTGGGTGGAGACTTAGCAAAGTTCTTGGCCACTTAATCTCTAATTTCATAAAGGATCTGGGAGATAAGGCAGTTCTCAGACCTCAGGATATGAATCAGGTGTTTAGCAATTAATTTAAGAACCACATGGACAGAGACTGCTTACTGAGAACAATGTGGTTTGTCTGACGCATAGAGAACATTTGGCACACATAGGGAAAGGTCATACTTGTGCTGCATCTTGCCAAATGAACGCTGCGAAGGACAAAACCCTCCTCATGAACAGAGTTTTTGTTTCAAAGTGCTGCCTTACTAAGAAGATTAGGATTTGTGAAATGTGAATGGATTGCTCCTATTAAATGGGTCAGAGTGTTCTGAAATTTTGAGGGCACTGCCTTTAAAACAAGCCAGGTTCAATAGCGGCCTATCACAATATTAGGCAAATTACTGTATTGACATTTGTAGTGCTTTTTATTAATGTTATACCCTTTCCTTCTATTATAATTAATAGTGGAGCAATAGTTTTACTAGACGAGAGGTAATTCTTAACAAAAGATGAACAAATACAAGTTCTTGGATAGTTTTCTTGGATTGGGTCAGTTACCAAACATAACTACGTTTGTTCCTGTTTCTTAGAGAAAGTCCAGTAAAAGTGCACAGACTGATCATACTTCCTTCTTTCTTTCTTTTCACTCACTGGGAAGGCTTCCTCCAGGATCAGATACATTACCAAGACAGCAATAGTGGCATGTCTGTACTACTGCTCTTTATGCTGTGCCTGTTGAGTAACAAAGGACTTCTGTCTGTTAACCTGTTCCCTTTCCTAAACACTTGAGTATGCTCTGTCCCTGTTCTTCTCTCTTCTCTGCTTTATTTTTTCTCATGCAAATTCACATAGAAAAAAACCCCAGGATTCATAAAGGATGTGGTGTCAGGGTGTCATATTGAAAAAGTTCCTGTCCTCTGTCATACGTTAGCATGCCAACAGCATGCCAATAACCAAATGATGACCAGTTTCAGTTTGGAAAGAAAGGGAAAGGGGTTTTATCTCTGCTGTTCAATGACTGTAATTATAGTCAAGATTTTGTTGTTCCTAGGAGAGAAGCAGTGGCCGTTCATTATCACTTCCTGGGAGACCTTCTTCACTCATGCCTCGAGCCACGTCACCTTCTTTTCCTGTGATCATCCAACCTGCCCCTGATTACTTCAGCAAACCACCTGGAGCAACTGACCGGTCTGGCAAGAGATTAACTCCCTGGGAAGCAGCAGCCAAGTCCCCCCTTGGCTTGGTAGATGATGCTTTTGGCCCCCAGAACATTCAAGGGTCCATTGTTGCTAATGTAGTATCAGCTGCTCGCAGGAAAACACTCCCGGAGCCACCAGATGATTGGAAACAGAGAGTTTCTTATGAGCCTCCAGCCCCAAGCATTCATGCTAGCTTAGCCTCATTTGGGAAAAGGCAATCTGGTATCATATCCCCACCAAAGAGCACCATGTCTGCGCCTAGCTCCACTTCCCAGTGTGGCACTAGGCTTCAGTATGCATATTATGGTCAACGATCCCAAACAGATCCCGACATGATGTCCATGGATACCAGGTCTGACTATGGCCTGTCAACACCTGACTTACACTACAATCTACATCCAAGAGGATGGAGGCACCAAACATGAAAAGCCTGGTATATTCTCCCTTCTTCCAGATTCATAAGCCCTAGATTCTAGTTCAAAAAGAAAAGCAAACCTCTCTGGGTGTTTTTTTGCTGGTTTGACAATCTGTGAATTGAAGATACGAGGAGGCAATCTCAAAGGGTGAATAGTTCTCATGCTGCTTCAGGGTTCTCAGCTTCTAGAATAGTTTCAGTTTTATTCCCAGCATTAGGATGTACCACGTTTTGTTTTGCTTTGTTTTGTTTCAAAAGGTCAAATTTTCATGTGTGCGCCTTTGTGTGTAGGAGGGAAAGCAAATGGCTCAGTACAAGCCACAGGCAGGAAAAGTTTAGTTAGAATGAACAGAAAAATATTTACAGATGAATTAATGAAAGAATATTAGGGCACTTTTTTTTAAACAGATTTTTTTATTCAACTTATAGATGTTCTTGATATATTTGACATCTAACTTTTAAAGTATTTTTTCCAATATAACTCCAGAATTTGGAAGTGATTACTGATTATGGTAGCCCAGTTAATTTCCCTGTAAATTTTTTTTGTCTTCAGAAAAGGACTCTAGCAAAATAAATTATTTTACTTTACTATGATCAATCTAAAAGGCATCTATAGTCATGGTAATTGAAGGTCGGTGACATTGAGATGTATGCTAATGTCTTCAAACTGGGCATTTCAGCGAGACTTCAAGAAGATTTGGGTTGAAAATAAATGTGCTAACAAACAACTGAACAGGAGATTTCTTTGTGAAATCTATAATTTGCTGAACATTTAGTGTAGCATAGCCTGTTATGCTAAAGAGCTGAGTAGCTATTCTGAGTATATGAGTTGATGAATATGTGGAAAGCTTTTGATTTGTTCTCTCATTCTGAAGACTGAAATAGGTTATGTAGCAAACAGCAATTTGTGTCCTATAGAGAAGATGACGTGTGGAAGATGGTATATGTTACGTGTTATAGGGTCTGAGTTGAGTAAAGACAGCAAGTATTTGGTGATTTGGCTGCAATATTAAATAAATCTGGATGGGCTTGAAAAAATGTAAATAATTGCTATTCTTGGTACTTGCCTTGCATTTAAAGTTCACTTTAATCGAATATATATATATATATATATATATATATATGTACTCCAAGTTTGTTGAGTAGTTTGGATGCTGTTAAAGTATGAAAATAAACCTGCAGGTTTACTGACAGCGTCGCACCTTCCTCAGGTGCCTGGCATTCTTCAAATATCTGTCAAGCATGGCCATTTAAAACTATTGCTGAAACACTGTTGAATAGCTCTGCTTAAAATATAAGCAGAAAACATGGAAAAGTGTTCACAGGAAGAAAACATGTGCATCAATCATGTTACAAAGCAACCTTCTTGTTTTCTTCTTGACTTATTTACACTTTTGCTTAAGCAACAAACTCTCATGAATTTATGAAGAAAAGTGAGAGGGGGTGGTTCCAAGAAGGAGCTCCATGCACTTGGTAATGCAATGATATAACAACGAGGTGCCCAAGCTGCCTCAAGCAACCATCCTAAACCCTTATGATCATCCATGCACAGTATCAGAGAGAATAATTTGACCTTTTGACACATAATTTGACACATTTTTCTCTGGATCTTGAGGTTTATTAACTTATTTCAGCAAAGCTTTTAAGAATGCATTTAACGCAGATTAATACATTTCAGTGGGGCTACTGTTATAGAGCTGCACGTGCTTAAATGCCTATCTTAGCATAAAATGACCAGGGCCAGGTTTCTGTTTTGAATTTTATCCTTGATATCCATTAAATTGGGAACAGGATTAGTCAGTTCCCAGTAAATAGTATCTCTGCCAAATACAACTGTATAATAAAATGTTTCACTTCTTAGAATCAGGAGCATAACTTTGTTTATTTCCTTTGAAAATAATATTATGCATTCTAATGCCCTTGGATAACACCAGGAAATATGTAGTTAGCATTGAAACACACCCAACTAAAAGATTGCCAAAGTGTCTGAACTTTAAAACATTAGAAACTTGCATGTTATGACACAAAATTAGACTAAATGTGGTCCACCCAATTTTACCAAAAAAACAAACAAACCATAAAAGAAAATTAACTTATGTTCTTAAGCATTTATAGGATCAACTATTAAAATATAATGATCTCCATATTATATACCTAGGAGCTCTGTGAAAAAATATGTAACAATCTATCTACTGTAAAATAGATATACTTTCATATGATTGTTACCTACATATATTTTCAGAGAGATCCTGGATATTTCCAGATGGATGTTCTTGTGTAGGTCATTGTGTACATTCTATGTATAAATGCAGCTTTTCATGAACATCCCATCGATCAGGACTTTTACATTTGAGAACTGATTCAACTCCTACTGAGGTCGGAAGAAAGGCTCCTGTTGATTTTAGTGGGAATAGACCAGGTACTCAGGTACCTTTCTCCAATTTATGCGTTTAACTCGCATTGATTGAGAAAACCCAGAAAAATTCCCTCTGAATTTATTACTTCAAATGTAATCAGTGAAGGGGAGTTTAATCTGAGTAAAGCCTGTCGTATGACTTTCCACACATTACACAGTATAAATAGATAGCTGTGTGTTATGGTGGCTGTGTCATTTGTGCTGCCTTAAGCTATGGTAAACCAGCCTCGCCTAAATGGAACGCAAAGATTTGCCACAAACATTATGATACTGGGGAGGAAGACCAATTTATAAATACACGGAGTTAAAATAAAAGTTATACTTATTATTCTCATGTATTGATGTATAGGAATTCAGTTTCCTAGAGGGAAAATAGGTTCAGGCATTATTCTCCCTTTGTGTCAATGGGGTTTTGTCATTGACTTCATCCCCAGGTACTAGCTTATAGTATAATGCGCACAGGGGTTTATGAGGCATCACTCTGCACTTTTCACTATTTTTCTCCCCACCCCACTTCCTTGCAAATTATCTTTCCATAAAGTCCACATGACCATTTTATGTGTAAGTTCTGAATATTCATTCAAGTATTTCTGACATTTGATCATTTGTGAGTGCACAGACCTATACAGTTGATGTGAGGAAAATAGCTCTAATATTTTAAGTACCTGTTATTTACTTTTTAACAAACGGTTAAGCCTCAAAGATGTCTGTGTTAATATATGGAGGATGTGATAAGCAAGTATAACTGACAGTTTAGTTTCTGCTGTTATACTAGAAGGTAGATGTTCACATTTTTTGTTCATAATTAGTTACATGTTGGTTAGCTTTAACACATTTACTTACCTATTCACACTTCTTTTTTCCATAGTAAGAAAAGTCTATGCTATTCTTATAATTGGATTTTCATTTTCATATGCTATTTGTTCACTGCAAAGGACACTTTATTTGAAGAATGCATGCCTGAGTTGTAAATTGTATCATTTAATAAAACAATTTTACCAACCAGATGAGAAACATGTTTGATTTCTCCTGATTCTTGTTTGTTTTGAAATAATCTGAACCCAAATAAACATTAATCTCTCATCCTGCATTATTGTTAGTGTCACTGAATTTGCCTGTCTGTGACCTCCTGCTGATTTGATCTTCCGGGAGCTTAAATCCATATCAGGTCAAATGGCACCATGTCAAATTCAGTAGAAATTCACCTTCACACTGAATAAGCAGAGGAAACAAACACACATACAATGGGTAAAATGACATTGCTAAGGCAGTTTTTATCATTTGGACTTTTTCCTCCTCATGGTTCCTCTTGGAACTGAATTCTTCTTCTTCAGAATTATTTTTCTCCTTCCATTGCAAATAAATACTCAGTTACTTATTTTGGCATTGTTAAGAATGGCTAGGTTTATATTTCCTCATGAAAACATGCAGGGGCAGACTGAATCCACTCTTGACTCCAATCAGATTATTTGGGTGAGTAACTACTTGGTGGGCATGTCTACATCTGACTTTATGCACACCTAAACTAAATGTGCCTTAGCCTAAGGCACATTAAGGTGATTTAGGCACACGTCTACACATGCACACCTTAAAGTGCCTTACCGTGGCTCGCTAGGTGAACACATTGGCAGTTTGCTCTAGTCAGCACCTTGGACAGCCCCTGGAAGCTGATGGTAGTGTAGATGGGTGGTGCAGCCCAGCACTGGCCGAGGGGGTGGGAATCTCCAGTCCCCACCAATCCAGATGCAATCTGTCTGGCCCCAGCTCTAGCCCTATCACCATGTTCCTACCTCCCCAGTGTTGGACAAGAGCGGGCTGGAGCCAAGCCTGTGGTGCCCCATGCTGCTGCCAGGTACCACCAAGAAGAAGACATGGTGGCACAGACACTGGAGCTGCAATGGCGGTTCTGGCAGCAGTGGTACCTGTCGGTTGTGCTGACCGACTTGGGACTAAGTCAGCAGATGGACCAGGAGGTGCGAGGTCTCCTGTCAAACCACAAGAGAAAGCCTCTGCCCATAACTCTCTGCAGGGGAAGGGGGTAATGCAGTGTGGGCAGGGCCTTTGCTAGCTGCTCCCTCATGCCTTTCCCTCAGGGTGGGCAATGCAGCCCTACAAGGGCAGGATGCCTCACTGCCCACCTGGGATTCAGGCATCCTCAGAAGCCCTCACTGGAGCTCCTGCCCTAGACAGCAGGTGGGCTGGGAGTGTGTCTGCCCCCAGCATCTGGCACAGCTTTCCCTGGGCAAGTGCCTGGCCTCTGCCAGACACTGCATGTGGGAGAGGCAGCGTCAGCTCCTGGGGGCTCTTTGTGGCTCAGCCCAGCAGGCTGGGCACAACACAGGTGGGTCTCTGCTTTCTCCTTGGCATGCCTAATCCAAGGCTGAGCCCCCACCTGCACTGCATCCAGCCTGCCTGAGCTGAACCATGCAGAGCCCCCAGGACTTGTTGCCACCTCTCCCACTCACAGTGTCTGGCATGGAGGCCAGGCACTTGCCTGGAATGGAGGTGGGTGGAGCAGGGAAAGCAGTGCCAAGCTTTGGGGGCAGACACAGTCCCAGACTGCCTGTTGTCCTGGGCTGGAGCTCCAGCATGGGCTTCTAAGGGCACCTGAGTCCCGGGCAGACAGCGAGGCATTTCGCCCCTGCAGGGCTGCATTGCCCAGCCAACAAATCCACCCTGAGGGAGAGGCATGGAGGAGCCACTAGCAAAGGCTCTGCCCATGCTGTGTTGCCCACTTGCCCCGCAGGAAGTCACGGAGTGGACCTGTCCCTTGTGCTTTGACAGGAGCCCTCATGCCTCTTGCCCCTTCTGCTGACTTACCACACACTTACAGGGACTGCTACTGCTGGAACCGCTACTCCAATGTCTGCAACTTGAAGAATAGCACCTGCCATGTCTTCTTCTTGGTGGCACCCAGTGGCAGCGCGGGGCCTCACAGGCCTGGCTCCGACCTGCTCAGTCACATAGCATTAAGGTGCTGCATGATGTTTACACATGGGTTAAAGTGCTTTAACTTATCATGCCTAAATTTGTTACTTGCTTTATGTAAGCATTCAATTGATGCACAATTAGCCTAAAATTGCCATTTTTCAGGTGTATTCAGGGCACACATATATAGACCCATGTCCTTAATGTGCTTTAAAAATGGCTAATGCACCTTAAATCACCACATGAAGAATCACCCAATATAATGAAGATGTTTACAACTTGCCTATAAAAAGCCAAATCCTGCTTCCTCTCCTTAGGTGAGCAGTTCCATTAAAGAAAATAGTATCTTGGGCATTAGGAAGGCAAGCAACATTATCGCACAATGTGCAGAATATTATTGGGATAATTAAAATTTGGAAACCAGTAACGCACTTTAATATCTTAATTATGTAAAAGACTTAAAATGATGAAAAGGAACCTATATTCCTACTCATTATGAGTATGTGCAATTTTTTTCTAGCCTGACTTGTTGCTTAAATATGTCATAAATATAGGAAATATATGCCATAATTTCAGCTAATGTAAATTAACCTAACCATTCACTTCAGTTATTTAAAAAAAATGAAAATCTTGCACATATGTCATAGTTTTTCATATCATGGCTTATCACTGTCCAGACAGTTTCTTTTGGGATGCTTGAGATTTCCTATTTTTTTTTAAGTTATACATCAAAACT